GTGTCACCTGAAAAAGCCAACGTTGAAGAAGAAATTCTACTCAGTTTTGAGAAGGGAAACGATGAAGCTTTTGATGAAGTTACTACCACTGATGTGACTGTTACCGATGATAGGACATTTACTGATGAACCACACATGAAGCAGAAGACAACGAGACGGAGACCAGTACGGAAGAAGATACGTCCCGTAAAATTAGGACTTTATTGAATTGTAATTTTGAGATTGTAATTCTGTACATTTAATTAAGTTATTGTTAATTGTAAGTGGCTATTGTTCGGGAAGAACAATACTAAGGAGGGGCAATGTTGCGTCAGCGAGGTCACTTTACTCGTTCTCTCGATATAAGAGGGTGACAACGTGACGGGACACAAGTGTGTGTAGGTAGTGAGTAATTGATCTGCAGTGAGAAAGTATTGTTGAAATTAACGTTCGTTATAGAGTTTGTTTTAGCGCAAATGTTGAAATCAAGTGTATCGTAAAGTTATATTCTGAAAGAATAAACCAGTTTTATTAAGTAAGGACTTGTGTCGCTAAAGTTTCGTCGGAACGAAGTTACGAACAGTTAATTAACAAACGGAGACGTAACAATAATAACAATAACGCTTATTAGTTTCAGATCACTAGGATTTGTTTATAAATTTCTAAATAATACTCATACCCAAAACTTCAGTTTCATGATACCTTGTCAAACAAGCTTAGTAACATATGTAGTTCTGCGATGTTTTCACCGATGTGTTTTTAAAGCTCCATTACAAAAGTCACGAGTTTATAACACCGACAGATACGATAGTTTAAATGAAAGACATTAAAAATAACCACAAGAGAGATGATCGTACTCTCTACCACTGTGGTTATAGAATCTAGTTAAGTTTTTAAAAGTATACATTTATAGTTGTTTAGACATCAAACGTCGCTTGGTGATATCAGAGGAACTATTTAAATACGAATTTTAAATAGAAATGAACGTCTGTAGTGGAAGTTCTTTAATAAATACATTACTTTAGTAGAAGAGTAAAGTGGAGATTTTAGAGAGATGTGCGATAAGATGAAAGCATATTTAAAAGTAAACTTTTATTTTAATACATAAACATAAATACAATAATTAATTTAAAGTAATAGAAACTAATGGAACTGGATGGTTGACTTCCACAGAAAGTTCGAAACAAGATGGTTCTGCCTGAAAGGAAAAATAAAATAAAAAAAAGAATTACGGAATAAATGTCAGCAATAGGGAAATTACGGAATTTTATATTAAAAGAAAAAAAGAAAAAACTCACCTCCAATTGAAGGTCTTCATTTTGTTTTCTTAACCTTTCCTGAAAGTGAAAAAAAATAAAAATGTTAGTTATTTCACAAATAGCCTGGTGGGAGGGAAAAAAAAACAATACGGATCTCGCGTACTTACAGATTTAGCTGGTGGAGAGGGGCTTATGGTTTAGAGTAATTTGCATGCAGGTTAACTTCGCCCGACAAGAAATATCTCGCAGAATTTGTAATTTTGGACCCCCTTCAGAGATTAATAGAGATGGCCGCCCCCCCCCCTGTCGTCCAAAATGACACTTCTTCTAGGAACTAATAAAATAAACTAACGATAAAATAAAAACCTTTTTCTCCTTTCTTCGTTGTACTTTCATTCTCAGCTTCGTTTTTCTTTTGATTAGGTTTCTTAACTTCCTATTATTAGGAAAAGAAAAAAAACCATTAGTTTCCTGTAATGATGTTTGTCCTATACAATATTTAACTGAAAAGTACACTTTTAAAGTATGAATCTTTTATAGTTTAGTAATTCAACAACTTCGAGACTTTAAAGTATAACTATAATACAAAGACCTATCTTTAGTATTTTAACATAGTTACTTACCGCCTGCTTAGGTGGCTGTTTAACAGCAGTCTTCTTACCTAGAGAAATGTATAGTAGTTTTACTTAATTTAAGAAGCCTTGTAAAATTTAGTTAGTTGCACTGAACCTAAGAGTTTTATTAAACATTACAAGACTAACCATAGCATACAATTTAAGTTAAAGTTTAAAACGAGAATTCCGAATACATCGCGGTCTTAAGTGGTGCGCCGAACGATATTATCCCTCTACGTTAAAAGATGCTACAACTTGTCAAAACCATCAAGAGTATTTTTTTTCTTTTTAGTAGGTTAAATAAAAAGTCGAGTATAGTTAAGTATAATATTAATGTTCTATTTCAACAATCCATATTAAGATTAATTTATCAACAGGCCGAACTATACTGATTACCTACACTATTCAGTTCCAAGTCAACAACAATATACACATTAAAATTAATTTATCAACAGGCCGAACTATACTGATTACGTACGCTATTCAGTTCTAAGTCAACAACAATATACATATTAAAATTAATTTATCAACAGGCCGAACTATACTGATTACGTACGCTATTCAGTTTTAAGTCAACAACAATATACATATCAAATGTGAGTAATAACATTTATTTACCTATATTCTTACCAGCCATTTTTGAACTTTCAATCAAATTAATAACCTCACCAATTATTACGTACAGGCAGTCACTGAAATTTATACTAAAAATTCCAAGAGATTCCGGTTAAAACCGTACTTTACAAAATGCCAAAGGGCTATTCTACGAATATGCCACCAATCAGAACTCGAATCAAGAGTACGAGATTAACTAATATATTTGACTATCCGACTTGGAAGGAGGGGGGTGAATGTAAGTTGGTTGCGCGCTTAATTTAGAGTGAATTAATTAACGTCTTAAATACGAATATTGTTGTATTTATTGTAGAATGTAAACTTATAGAAAGTATTTCTATAACTGCATTGTTTCTTACAGTCATATAATCTGTACTAAAGATGATTTCGTATGACTTAATTTTATAAATATTTTAGTTCATGAGTTTGTTGTTATTTGAGACTATACAAACTAATCACAAAGAGTTTTGAACACGATATCACCAACTTCCGACTAACGTGGTATTAAAATTAAAACTGTATTCAGTTGATAATACATAATGATATAATGAGTTAGGTGTCCGAAGATGCAATATAATAGCGGATGTTGTTTATAAGATTGCCTAGAAGTTTTTTCTCTTTCCAGATATAGATAATATAATTACCAATTTATGATAATAATTATCTTACAATCTTTTTAACTGACGGAAAAACTTGTATTTACATTCGGAAACTGAAAGTAGCAAACTTTTAAAATAATAAGAACTTCCACAAAAAAATACTCCAAGAAGAATATCAAGACATGTAAACATTTTCTCAAGGGTAACGACTAGAGTATATACAGCACCGAATGCAATGTTTACAAGCAGTAAAAGAAAAAATTGTAAAAATTATATATGATGTAGGGATGGGATATTTACAGAACCAACGCTTTCCAACTTCACCCCCAATTCATTGCATGTGTATACAATCGACTCCACTACATGCTAGAGTCATGTCGATTAATACAGAGGAAATCCTATGATACCACGCATACACATATAGCTGCCAGGTTCGACCACACTGAAAATTTGAAGAAAAGTAGATCGCTATATAATGTATTGTTTTCATGATTAACAAACTAGTGTTTTTAAATTTAGACATCAATAACTTGTACACAGATCTGTCTGTTGCATAAATACTTGATCTCCTTAATACCTTGAATATTAATCTAGATTATTCTTTCTTTTTACTGAAATTGCTTTGGTAGATATCAATAAGAACGATTTATGCTTTCATCTAGCGACCAGAAATAAAACTGTTATTTACGAAACATGGAAGTAATAATATATGCTTATAAACTGAACTCATTGCTTTTTAGTAGTTTTCCTTTTTGTTATTTTCCCACAAAAACACGTGTGGTAGAAGAACAGAATAATATAATAGAATAATACTACTGTTATACAAACTGTGAAACACTCGATAATGGCAATTAGGTGCTCAAATAAAGTTATAATTCAACTTTAGCAGTTACTTATATGTATCATACAGTAATAGATTGAATGCGGCAGCCATTTTTTTTCTTGGTCCATCTCTACATACTAAGCACCACTGTGCCTAGTGATAATTTGCACACATTCAACCAGTAATGTAATACATTGTACACATAAAGTAAATTTATACATCGATGAACTATATTGACACATTTATATATTGTTGTAAGATATGTTTTAATATTTTTGAAGCTATATTTTCATTTGTTTTAATTTGGTTGTTTGTTAGAGGGAGCTCCTAACATAATAATGACGCTAGATTTAGAACATTTATCAAAGTAGTCCTAGAATATCCAGAATGTTTGACAATAATCAATGGATGACAATAATCAAGGGACTTCCCAAATATCTACAAATAAGAACGAATTATAAATACAAGAATCAGTGAATCATTGAGTGTCAATTTCGAGTTTCTTCATTATCCATTCAAGCCGTTTCTAAGCATTATGAGTGCCAATTTGTTCAATGATTGAGAAGTTAGTGAAATATTTAGATCATTGTCAGTTATCGAGTACATTTAGTTATTCGATCAAACAGCTATGAAATTGTTTGTTAGTTTATTTGTACGTTAGTGATATAGTACCATTAGCAGAGTATATTTCTGTTGAAAGTTAAAACGTTATTTGTGAATAGGCCTACAACTGTGTACAAGTGATAGTAACATGTAACAAACGTCAAAGAAGAAAATAAACGAATTTGTTATTGTTATATAATGGACTTTGCATTATCTTAATCAAATAATTTTTAAAAACCCGTCAATGCAAAATCAACGTTACAACAACATTTTAATTTACATGTTTTGTATTGTTTACTAGAGAGAGTTTTCGGTATGATTTAATGATGACGTGTGACGCCTAGAAGATTTCTAAGTGTCTATATTTGACGTGACATCTGGAATTTTCGTGAGATTTGATGGAAATAAATATTGTGATATAAAAGCATGAGAAAATTAGTTAACCTTGCGAGATGGAGAATTCTACTTTTATTTTGCTTTGGTTTTGTTTACCATTTATTCATTATTCTGTCTATCGTTTAGTTGAACTATCAATTTTTACTTATATTGATTATAGCGCTAACTCAACTTCTAACTAGAGCACGTTGAATTTGAGTATGTTTGTATTTTGAATATAATGATTATAGTGTGATTAAGATAATATTAATATACCCTCTCACTCACGTACGAAGAGGGTTTCGCAGAACCTCCTATTTTTGTTATTTAAAAAATTATGCTTGTATAGTTATAGCACAGCCGCCTATGGTATTTAACGTTTTGGATGTTTGCGGATTTTATGTGAACAGCCATGCAACTGTTAAAGCTATATTTCATGCAAAATTGCTTCCAGGTTTAATCTCATAGCACCTATTTTTACAAATTTTCTCTGAGAACATACCCCCCAGAACTCTGTATCATTAACATGATGATAATGCTTCACAAAAATGTGTTGACTTTTGATCTCGCAAATCAGACACACGCCCTCTTTCAAACATTCAGCGTACTCTTCTAGTTTTTGAAAATACCTGATAAAGAATGTAGTGTTAAAAATATAATAGGCTTATGACAGGCATATATAATCAATTGTAAACAGTATACTGTT